ATATTTCATGTAATCCACATAATAAGCACATATAAATTACCTCTACCCAAGTTATGCGAAATCCGGTTATAACATTAAGTTTTGATGCAGAGCGCCACTACGGAGACAGAGGCTCTGTATAGTACATGCAAAGCCTTTGAGCCTCCTACTCCCATGGAATGCGCAGATGGTTCAGAATTTTGTCCAAGAACTCCAATAAGCCTCGGAGGAGGATATCTTATGAAGAAGTGGTGATGAAATGATTTAGGTACATTTTGGACGGAATAGTTAACAAGTAGTACTCTCTGTGAAATCCAGAGTTTCTACACTAACTCTGAAATGTGTTCCACATTTGAGGGTCTCAATGTAGAATTCATTTGGAAACCTGGATCCTCAATTATGAGATATGCATCCTTGGTATTGACCAAATATGGAAAAGAAGATACTACTTGGTCCGTGCAGACTACGAAATCTGTACAGACCAAACAGACCTCCAGGTCTGAAGTTAAAATTCCAGACTTAACTCCTAAACCTGGCAAATAGACTTCAAACTACTCTCCACACTTGCAGCAAGAATTCATAACTTTGATCTTTTAATTTATTTTATTAACCTACTTCAGATTTAGATTTAGATGTACATTTAAAATTGAATTGTCAAAATTCAAAATTTCAATCATTACCGGTTGTAATCCCCATAAAATCGGAAATTTGTTTCAAAGTTGTTTTCATATCCCGATTTTCCATCATTGAACATGGTTTTAGATTGTTGTTCAATTTTGAAACTTATCATCAATCAGATTGCGATACTTATCTGTTCTAAGGTATCATAACTTGGATAAACTATCAAACTTCAAAATTTTCATTAATTGATAAACTCAAAACATTAGTCATTATCGGTTGTAATCCCTTTAAAATCGGATATTTGCTTCAAAGTTGTTTTCATATCCTGAATTTCCATCATGGGACGTGGTTTTAAATTGTGGTTCAATTTTCCTACTTTACATTACTCAAATTGCCAACATTTCTCAGCTTCAAAGCAGAACAACCAAATTGGATTGCTTACCTGGTGTAAGGTATGATAAGTGAATACACTGTGCAACTTGAAAATTTTGATTAATTGATAAATGTTTTTCTTTCTACAAATTAATGGATATGAGAATATTACATTCATCCAAGATCTTGACATACAAAAGGATGACTTCACTGTCAAGGTCAGAATCATTCGACTGTGGAGTCAACCGATGTTTAAAAACCCTCATGAAATATATTCCATAAAAAGGATATTAATGGATGAACAGGTAAATTCTTATTTCTTTTTCAATCTTTAGTATTGTATTCATCATATTTTATTATTATCTCAGCTTCTTAATATATTCACATTATTACTACTCACTAGTTTTTTATTTTCTGTTTTTAGGGAACTAAAATCCATGCAAATGTTCTACAAAATGGGTGCCTAAGTTCAGAAATTTACTTCATGAAGGGACTGCGAAATTGAAACCTGTAAATCTTCATTCAACAAATTTCGGTTCTGAAGAGAAGTTAAAGATATTATAAATGCTACCTCCATTGTAGTTTCTAAATTTAAATGAAAGCAATTAGTTCTTAAAATGGCATAACTGATTATTATCTTATTTGAAGGATGGTGTATCATGTACTGGTGAGAATGCAACAGCCGCGAATGTGGATAAGAGGACAACAAATAGTCTGGAATCACAAGAGAAGGTGTACGAGAGAAGGCTTGGTAAAAAAATTGATCGAAAGCATCATTTTGAAGGTAGTTATGTTGCCGATCAGGAAGGGAAAGGATGGCCAACCAAAACCTTAATAATTGAAATAGGTGAAAACTGATATTCTTCATTTTGATGAACAATTAGATTCAAACTCGAATTTGGTAGTGCTTTTGTGGTTGAATTTTTATTTGAACAAATATTTCTCAGTTGATAATTATATTATGCTATACGTTTTCATTATTATTTGTTTTGTATTTAATATTAAAGTTTTTTCATAGCTACATAATTCTGTTGTTATAGCAATCACAAGTTTTAATGAGAACATTTTTTTAAAAGTAGGAAATGAGAAGGGAGTATTCTGAATCCTTCTTGGCCTTGATTAATTTATCCCCCGGCTTCTGCATGCTGCATGCAGAGCTTCTGACTTCTCTGTACAGATCTCTGAAGTGTAAAGATTTTTACTCCAGAGTAATTTCAAAAGTACAACTCTTGTATTAAACTTATCAGCACTTGCAAGTTAAATCTAAGAATTGGAAGATAACTCTGATAGGTTTGCTTCCAGACTTATACAATAACTTTCGTACGTTATTTCCTAGAAGTATAATGTGCATTAAAATTTCAACCATGTAACACGGCTCCAAAGTAGTACTAAACAAACTTCATATTTGGACTTAAATTCCTACAGTGTATGTCTGAAGGGTCATTTTAAAAAGTTTACTCAACCTAATTCTGAAGTCTTATTTTCAAGATGTCTCAGTCTGAACTACAATACAAATCTTACTAATAGTCCATGCAGTCGTTCTGCTGCACCAATGGAAATGTATGAATTCTAATTTGCTATGCCTCAAATGTTTTCTAAAAACTCATTTTAGATAGTTAGTACAAACCGCTGCCTAATGAACATTTGATGTCTTGTTACTCATTTCTCAAACTTAGCAGACTGATGAACTAATTCTTTCCATAGTCATACTTTGAACTTTAATGGAATAACAATCATGATACTTTTCCTCACTTACAAAAACAATTCTCATACTTTTTTTCCAAATTTATGACACTGCTGTAGTGTTGTTTTGCAAAGTTTTTCATTTCCTTAACGTTGTTAATATACAACTGTGATTTTTTACATTCCAAATGTTTTCTCAAGTTCATTTCACATAGTTACTATAGAACTGTAAATAATTAACCTTCAACGAATTGTCTCTCATTCATCAGGCTTAGCAGATTGTTGAAATGTTTCTTTCAACGAAAACCCACTGCATTATATTTTGCAAAGTTATATTGTGTAGTTATTTCTCATACTTAGAATAAGACTCCCATACTTTTTCTCCAAACTTAAAACTCTGTTATGGCATTGGTTTTCATAGTTTTAGGGTTTGTAAATATGTTAATGTACAAAGTTGAAATATGCAATATGGTTTTCCAAGTACTTATCATTTATGGTCTTCTACATTTAATAGTTAACAGTTTGAACTCCACAATTGAACATGAAACTGCATCCTTTCCATAACATGGAAACGACATAGGTTATTGTAAGTGATAAT